TATACCGCGTACACGGTTAGAATATTATGGTGAGATAGGTATAATATTATAATAATAATAATATGTACTCAACACGAATGCGCGTATATATATATATTATAGATATGAGGCTATCCGGCCGAAGACAGCTGCAGGTAGCTGACCGGGACGCCCGCTGACACTCGCGCGCTCGTGGTGATAGTATGATGATGATAATAATAATAATAATATTATTATGTCCACCGCTGCCGAAACGACACATCGAATTATTATAATATTTTTATTTTATTATGATCGCGTCCTATAATATCGTACCTACATACACATAATATGCACTATATAAGTGCACTCGTACTGCAGCGGGCGGTGTCTGGAAGCGTGCGAGTGAGTGTGCAGTTTGTCCCCATCGCCGACTCTCGGTTTCTATTTGATTTTTTTTTTCAAACACCATGATCACTTTATAAAAGGCTCAACATATTGAGTTTTGATGTGGAATTTTTGAAAATAATGTATCATATATTATTTTCTTAGGATTTTTGATTAGTGAACGATTGTCGAATTTAAAGGTTTCTACGTTTTTCGAACGACGTAAGAGGATGAGTTATTTCGAATAAAGAGTAAGGTTGAAACATGAATCTACACTCTTCTCCTATACTTGTCATTATATATACCTACTCTTTCTTAATGCTGTAATTCTATTCCAACTTTAAGATGTCGGCATCTTGTCCTATGTACGGCTATACTCCTATCCCTACATAATATAGTGATATGCAGGGACAGATTGGTAGAATTTTTCCAGGTAAGCATTAAAATAAACAATTTTCGTGATTTTGACAAATTTCGTTAAGATTTGAATATTAAACACTTAGAAAGATTCGAAGAAAGAACTTATGATGAACCTTGTATTACACTTTCAGGTTTTTTACTCACGATCAAAAATGTAATCATACATAAGAAGGTCTACAAGTGTAGATAAATAAATAACTAATTTATAAATAATTTAAAAAGAGCCAAAACAATTTGAACATTTATCATGTCTATATAAAATTAAAATATAAATATATCGTGTACATATCTTCGATTACTATGAACGGTTATTCGATTTTCAATCGACATTTCAATCGACATTTATTGTCATAGACATAAAACTAAACTAAAAAAAATAATAATTGCATGTAGGATGGGATTTGCTATATTCGAACACTTCAGCTTGTACCTATAAACTTACATGTCTATACCTGTCTGTTATACTATACGCGGTCGTTTTCTAATTAACCTATCATATTATCACTGATGTCCCTATATATGTATAATGAATCATTTAAATTTTAAATACGCCGTTTAGATTTATCGACTTGTCGCGTCGTCGCGTATTTATTGCCAATATTTTCGCCCAGTTAAGTTATTATTATTATACACTCGCTTGGCCGTCGTAAATTTAATTTAGTGGTTTTTATTTTTTGTCGTTTTCTTTATATTTCATAAAATTACCGCAAGCCGTGAAAATCCATCGATTTTACGACATTGTACACTGCAACACACACGCAATACCTATTATTTATATATTATATTTGTTATGCCGCCGATTGAAAAGATAATAAATATCGGTCGTCTCCTGCAGTACAGCCGCACACAATCCACAGCTATATATAGCATATAATATATATACGCGATCAGATACACACCACGCGCGGCTGTCGAATCGTCTGTGGACCTATGCTTTAGGCCTTGTCCAAAAATATTATCGTACACCTATTGTATAGATATATTAGTATAAAATATATAGTGAATATATCTATCATATTCCGGCAAACGTTGATTTTAAGAGTTTTAAGTTTTTCCCCAAAGGATGCCGTGTAGAGTAATATAAGTTAAGTAAATATAAGTACCCGGCAAATGATTTTTCTTTTTTTTTCTGTATAACCCGTTTGGATCTCGATTTCAATTTCAGTTTCCGACGACCTGTTTGACGTATCATTCGCGGCCTCTCATCCCTTATTTGCATAGATCGAATTTCGAGTGTTTCATGCAAAGCATTACCGAGAAATGGATGTAATATAGTATTATAGCGGACCGGTTTCTATATTCCGAGGACCATTGGAAACCGTTTTTTAAATGAGTAGCCGTTACCTATATATAGTATATATAATATAATATATAAATGTTTTTTTATTGGTGGGAACACATCCAATCAACGTGACAACTAGTGATTGGACCCCCCGTCGTGGACATTGAATTATAATAATAATTATAATTACTACTCAGGGCACACCGCGGTACCCAAATAGTATGTATACTATACTTACACGGCTATACCTATATTATATTATATATAAGAATAAAGAATAACAATAAATGTCCAATTAATATACGTACGTAACCTCTCTAGTCTTTAGGCGAATGACGAATTTCTACATGGATTCCTTGTTTTGGTCTAATATATAATATTCATACAGCCATGTAGGTTATATATAATATAATATGGAAATACGTTTATAAGTATAATATACGATTGTAATTTTCAGCAAACGTAGACCCATTAAAACTAATTGTTGACATTGGTTAAAACCGTTTAATTTTTAATTATTTACAATTTTAATGGAACGTGTAGTAAGTAAAAAAAATATTATAATACAAAATGAAAGAATCATATAGGTATATTACATTATAGCTAATAGGCAATTTTAAAAAGAATATATTTGTGCAATAATTGTGTAAATATATAATGATGATAAATATACGGACATTCGCGGGTAATGGTATAAGCGTTATACAAGATGAATATTATGCAGGACCAGGACTGAAATAAAAACTGCATGAATTATGCCATAGACATGTAGAACTATAAGTATTAATGTAGTGACATAATACAATATAGGCACTATAAACGTTTAGTGTATTTACCATATACAGTACAGACTACAGTCAAATTTCATCTTTTTTGTAAGCTGATCTCAACGAAAAGTATATATTATATAATGTTTAATATGTATAATCTTTGTGAATTGTTTTTTCATTTTATTCGTCTACACTGAAAATATGAGTCTGGATAACGTGTACCTGAATGTGTAAAGCAACGACATTTTAACACAAAACGAATGGAAGAATGTCAGATCTCCAACAATATACAAAACTCGTACGTCCTTGACTTGTAGAACCCATAAGACTTAAAAAAAACTGTCTAAGATTATAAATTTAATACACAACAAGACCTGCAATATATATAGTATATATACATTATACGTGTGTACAACATAACACGTAAACAGACATAATTCCTATCGTTTGGTAGTATAATAAGCCGAATTCACAAAAATCATCGAATACTTGCAGCCCTAATTTTTTCCTTTTTAACAGCTAGGCACGTTATGTATACATTATGTTATATTCGTATTAGTCGTATTATATAATATATTATACTATATTATATTACACGCTCCTTGTGTTTGTACATGTATATTATATAGGTACAATAGACGATCGATAAATAACGCGTTCACACACATATTTTATATATTATATATATAGAGAGTACGAAATAAATCGATTGGCTTGCGGCTTTCAACGTCGATACAATATCGCTGCATCGTACCTTATACACATATAGTTATGAACAAAATATTATATGCGCGTCGAAAATGTTTCGATGAAAGTATATAATAATAATAATAATATATAGGTATTATAACACAGTGTATACTGTATATAATATATATCCGTGCTGCAGTGTATGTATGCTGCACATTATAATGTCATTCTGGTGGATCTCGGACATTCCGTGCTGTATATTATACGGTTATATATAGGAGTAAATTTTTTTTAGAGATTTCTCAATATTACTGCACACACACACACACATTATATATCTGCTGCACATGATATGTGCGCCTCGCGTTCTCCCGTCTTGTATACGTTGGTATATTTTATTCTTATTTTTTTGTATTTTTTATGCGTTCTCGAAAACAACAGCGTGGGCCCGGTGTCACGTACCTCGCCGTAGCGCCGTGTGCAGTCCTGCTGCGGATATTGCACCGTAGTATATAATATATATATATATTATATGTATATAGGTATGGTCTTTGTGTTTTTTTTAAACTTATTAAAATGTAATGTATTTTACAACGCGGCCATGTCGTCGACATGACTACGTCTAGTCTAAGTGATTTAAACAGCCTATATGCTATATATATAATACTTTCAGCCACGATCGATGCGCCGGTACCTACTTATACCAACATAATAAAATATAATATATTATGTATTATTGTGCGTATATACATATCTATACGACATAGGCGTAACGAGTGTAATGTGTTTGCACGGCAGTGGTGTCGTGTATGGTACGGCAAGCAATACCTCTCGCAGTCCAATATAATAATATTTTTTAGGTAGGTTATATTATAATAATATGTGGCTTATCATATTAATATTATTATTACTAATTAATTCGAGGCAACATCATAGGCTATTTTGTGTACAATAAATTTAAATATTTACATTTACAACCATTAATTAATAATATTAACAATATTTGTTGAGTCTAACCTAACTTCTCCTGTGATACGTATGCTGGTTGGTTTCTTGGAAACATAGTATTGTCAGTTGGATGTGTATATATGATGTGGTTAATACCCACAGAACGATTATAGAACCCATTGATATTCCATTGAATGAGTGAGGCCATAGAAGGTGGTGTTTTTTTTGTTAGTGCTTTGTTAGTTTTCTGTTAGGGGTAGGTACTAGGTATGCGTTGAAAAAAGAGGTTGAATAATTTAGTGATTTTAGCTTTGATACTGCAGTTTGTCAATATAGGTATGATTTATTCAATATTACTTAAAGTAAATTCTGCTATCAATCCAACATATTCATATAAGCTAGTCTTGTATGTCAATATTTTTGTTGGAAAAATACATGTTTAAGTGGATTTAAGGGTCTTTATATTGGAAAATAAGTTCAGATACTATTCCGAGTTGTTGGTTAAGTTTATCAATAGTGTTTTGTGCTGAGGAAGAAGATATTATCTAGATAGAATTCTGGTTTTTTTTGGAAGTTTTATCTTTATTAGAGTTATTTTTGGCTGGTAGGATTTTCATATTGAAGGAAGGAGGCTTAGGAGATTGGGGTGATGATGTGGATTCTGGTCTTTTATAATTAACTTGATGTTCCTGTGAATTCAATATATTTGCGTAATTTATATTTTGCGAGGTATTATCGTTATTTTGATTAGACGTCTCTTTAATATTCGGAGTTTTTTCAGCGGTTTCATGGGTTGTGGTATTTATGGCTGAATTTTCATTTGAGGTGTCCATAATATTTTCAGGTAAAAATTATTCTATTATTAATTATATCGCTCCAGCAACCAGACGTTTTAACAATAAAAGGCGAAGAAAAAATTGACGCGATCGTACCACGTTTTCCTTTTGGGAAAAAGTAAATACCACATATTTCCGTATAGGTATCCTACTATCCTACCGATTCGATTCCACGGTAAAAAGTTTTAGTTAATATTATATAATAATGTATTACATACATAGGTAGAAGTTTAATGAAACGGGCGCATGTACCTTTATTATACATTCATACATAGGTCACACATATATAAGTGGATAGGTATGTATATATGTATATATATATATGTGTATATATATACATGTATATGCTATATACTTGTTGGGTACAATAGCACACGTTTGGCTTTGTGCAGACGGTATAACATATGACATGGCCGTTGTCAATAATAATGTTGCAGCTCTTATACCTACTTATTGTATATAATATATATTACATAATCTATGTATAATAATATTAATGTATAAGCTATATACATATAATGTAGAATAATACGTACTTTTATAATATAATATTATGTCATATTATGCTGCAGTACCTATATGATATTTTGTATGCTGGGTTTCGGGAAAAAGTATATCGACGCCTCGGTTATTGCATCAATCACGTTGTGTGTGATCAATTCCGACAGATATTGAACGATTTGCCTTTTCAATACTTTTTCCCATTCTGTTCGATCGTTTTATATTTTATTTTCCTTTCAGGTCCGCACCGGACATAATTTATTACCCGACGACAAGGGTTTGGCGGTTATTAACTTTTATATCTTATATATTATAATATGTGTGTGTGTGTATCTATACACGGATCCATAAACAAACCGCTGCTCTGCGGTTTTTCGGCGCCTTTCGACAGATCTCTTTACGTGAGCACTGCGTTAAAAAACCACATTTTTAAATTTCATACGAGTTTTCTGCATAGATAGATCGTGGTTCCGTGTCGAAACGACCGACGACGGACAAATGGTTAATACCGCATCAGGTAACCCGCAAATGTATTATTCTAACTTCTAAGGTCGTTTATTATATTCGAATAAATTAGAGAAAAATATACGCGTTATTGGTTACGACCAATATATTTTATAGCCATAATAACTATACCTATTTATATATAGGTACCTACGCACAAAGCCCATGATATATTATTATTGTTTTATGTGATATACTGATATTATCAATTGTTTTTGTCAGTCCTATTTTATTTGTTTCGAAATAATTAGTAATAATTATAGTATATTTACCTAGTTAATAATATTTATGTTTTGAAAACGATTTCTATACCAATATAATATGATATATTATAGACTTTTATAGTAGGTACTCGTATGTGAGTTTCATCATACATAATACTAATTTATAATTTGATTATACATGCAATAATATTATATTCACAACTGTCTATAAATAATAACTAAATTCAAGTTGTATAAACAACATTTTTTTTTTATTTAAAAAATACCAACATGAACTATTATGCTTCGACCATTATTATACAGAAAAATGCATCATAAAATAAGAGTCCATACATTTTTTATAAATTGTTAGTGGATTATAGAAGAAGTTACGAAGAGACGAAAACAATTTCTTTTTAAATTGGGTCAAATGAAGGAAAGATCAGGAAAATTTGGATTAATAGATTATGTAAATCACACAACTACACAAGTCACCATAACAGTTAAAGAGGGCACAGGAGATACAATGATTGAGCGGCTCAAATATTTAATTTGAAAGAGTGATTAGGTAGCAGGTATAATAACAGCCGATACGGATAATAGCACAATAAAATTACAGTTTGGCTAACTTGGAACCACGGATAAATGGAAATGTTAGCCGTTAGGAGAATTTTTTTTAAAAACACACGATTTATGAAAGTTGTCCAATTCTACTTTATAAAGTTTATGGATGAATCCAACCTGTGTATTATAGTAACAAAATATTTAAAAAAATAGGTTACATGAGTAAAAAATTATAATATTATAATCGTTTGGGGAAAATTAGTATAGGTACTTAATATAAATGGTGTACGGTTATTATTCGTTTTTGAATTACACATATAATTCTGTACAAAATTCTAACTTTAAAGATTTAACGAGTATAAAAAAAATACTGTGACTATGTATTTATTATAGTTGCTGGTATATAAAAAGTTTTTGAGGAACCTTGTATTAAATTATCAAGGTTTTAGATTTAGACTGTCCTTATAGACATTTACATGGAAAAAAAAACTTTAAAAATTTGAAAATATCAAATGTCTATAATAATTATAGACATTTGATATTTGTTATTATAGACTCTATATCATATAATAGCTCAAAAAGCATCAAAATATTTTGAAAATTTTTTCATGTAGTTTTATAAAACATTAATATAAGGATTTGGTTAAACGTCAAGTATCTACGGTTATTGGTTTTTAAGTTACAATAACAAACAAGATTTTGACATAAATTGGTTTTGTATAAAAATTCAGTTTTTCCTTTTTTTTTTTCTCGATTATTTTGAAAAATACTAGGAATTTTCTATTTTGGTCATTTTAAAGTATCAACTTCATCAAATTTGTTATCAAAGATCACGCACAAAGTTGAAGACGAAAGCATTTTTACTATTATATATAACTATACAAGTATCTACGACCTACCTATAAAACGTGTGCACTGTACTTATATACAGACTAAAAAAAAAACAGACACATCATTATAATATTAATACATTCATCGCTCCGCACAGAATCTAAATGTTACATCATCTTATTTCTTATGAGTATTGTCAAATTGAATGTAAAATTAAATAATATTTTTTTAAAATGTTTTCAATTTTAAATTATAGACTTAATCTTCATAAACTTTAATACCATCGGTTATAACTTAAAACCTTAGATTTTTTCCAACATTAAGTGTGTGTACCTACCTACTCTATACCATAATTAAATCGCCCACGAACATTCAAATTTGATAGATATATTTCAGTTATCTTATTAATGAACCGGGTAGGAGCTATACATGACACTTTGACATATTATGTACACTTAGTCCTTAATATCACATTAACACGATATTATAATATATTTATATACATAGAAGTTATGTGAAATCTGATTGGTCATCGGAGTAAAATAGTCATACGGAATCACACATGTGCAGTCGCACGTTGAACAACCGTATAACACTGGGCTGTACATGTTATTAAAATTTAAAAAAAAACCGTTGAGCTCTAAGTCCGGAAACTGCGGTTTCCTCTATGCGATCGTTTGGATATATTATAATATATTGTACTACAAATAATATCATCATCACGTTTGTGTATTGTTATACAGCGGTCGTTCAATCCATATCGCACACATACCACCGCCGTCGCAGAATAATATAATAAGGTGTATTATAGTGCATTACTCACACACACACACACACACACACACACACACACGTGTATAATACATATATATATTATATATATTGAGTGGAGGTGTTGACTGACACGGGACCGAAAAAGGCGCGGGCGGTTGAGTGATTAGCTCATTGTCGTCGAGTCCACGTCCAAACAAGCGGACTATACGTGTTATTATTACAATAAACAATGAACGCGCTTTCGTGTAATAATATAATATAATACAGATATAGTGAGTTAGTTAGTTAGTTAGAGCGAGAGAGACACACACACGGTGAGAGTGAGAGAGAGCCATCGACGGATATAGACAAACGAACGGGTACTTACAAACCGCAATATCGTTGTAGGGGGAATAACCATATACCGCGGTGGAGAGGTGAATCGCCGGGTTAATTAAACGAGGAGAATATTGTATTTTATTATTATTATATTTTTGTTTCCTCACCTGTAGGCCCCACCCCAGTGCCTAGGCACGCTACCACTATAATACTATACCTATACCACCGTCCACCACCGCAGCAGCCGGTCGTCACCGGGCCGACCGGAGTTTATGAATGAAACCCAATGACGTCATATTATTCTGCTCTATACGTGCGCGCCGCATATATATAGGTAAAAAAAAAGCGTAGGTGGCGGCATGCTGGCATTCATCTTTGACCCCGGACATCAATAAGACATTCCGCGCGTAAGGTACGACGACGTTCGTATATGCGTACAATAATAAAAATAATATTTTAATATAATAATAATAATAGTACCGAACCGTTGCAGACGCTGGATGCTGACGCCGCATGGGCGAGGACCGAAAGCACGCGCGTTTCTAGCACAAAGCGTCCATTGTCTTCGGTCCATTGAAGCCCCCGACGCCTATGTACGAGTATATAATAATATGTTGCTTGTAAGTGTGTGAGAGCCATCGAACGAACTGGCGACGGAAGATGGAGACAAGACAATCGATCGCGATTTGATTTTTAACGATTCGGCGGGGCCCGATATGCACGCGGTAATTAATATAATAGGTACAAATTTAATATAAGTCTGTTGAAGGTTTTATACGTTCCTCCATGAAAAATGCATTTTTTTTTTCATTTGGTATAGTGGCGTATACCTACCAATATTATTATTTATAATTATTTTATGTAAATACCTACAGTTAATTTCCGATATTATTTTACACTCCCCACTCCGTATACTCTTTCAAACTTATATTCCTTTCATATATTAAATAGATATAGTCAATACATTAAAAACGGAACAAAAGATTTTGGCTCAACTCTAAAAAAAAACTCCCACCTTTGAACCCACCCTTTGAATTCATCGAGTGCATGTTTGCATAATAATATTATATTATTATAGTTTTATTTTTTTTAAATTGTTCTGTTCTCTGGGCTGTCATATATCGCGATATTGGTGATGTTCGTAATTTGCTTTTGTATAGGTACCTATAGGGTTTTTAACCCTCCCCGAAATTTCTCAGAGGCCTAGTATATTTTAGCTTATGTATATATACTGGATGGGGAGAGTATCTAGAGCGAACCAAAATGTCTCCGCCGCTCAAACCCTCAAAGTTTCATTTGCAC